GTATTTTATTGTGGTAAGAACATAATACAAGATTAACAAAATTTTAAGTGTAAAATGCAGTATTGCTGACTATAAATACAATTTGAATAGTAGATCTGATCATCCCACCTAAGAAAATTCTCACTGACAATTTCAGATATAGAAACTGAGGCAAAGTGAAATAAAATAATTTATCCAAAGTCACACAGCTAGAAAATTCCAGGGTCAGGACCCAAGTTTCAGTCATTTCACTCCAGATCCTGCTTTTTTCACTACATGATGCCACCTAACCATTAATGAGTTCTTCATTTCTGGAACTGCAAAACTTGTAAGGACCTATTTGTAAAACAAACAAAAATGAATGTGATTCGGGCTTGCTGCACAAGTGGAATGCTTCCCAGAAGGCAGTCAGTGCATAGAGTTAACCAAGTACCACCTCTTCACGGGAAATGACTTAGCCAACTCTGGACAAAATATATTAATGGATCCAGAATTAGGTAAGACATAGGCACCTCCCATCAAAGGAACCTAGTCTATTGGATGACAGCAGTCTTTGTCCACCTGAAATGTTTCTTGAAGGCCTTTCCATGACACATGGCGTCCTATGCCCAGTTGGTAGACTGCATGAACCTTCTCTGTCTCAGTGGCTACATACTATTCTCCTTTCAGGTCAGGTTTCCTCCTTCGTAAACTTCCCAGGGATATAGTGAGTTTTAAACAAGACAGTGTTGGTAAAGCAAAAAACCAAGCACCAGTTGAGTAACAGATGCTCAATAAATCAACTTCCATCTCCATCCCTTGTCCATCCCACAATGTCTTTCCCTTCCCAGCATGGACAAGTGGGTGAAGGCTGTGGAGAAGCATTCAAATGATAACGCTGAATGAAGAGGCAAAGAATCTAAGAATTTTAAAGACACTTAAAATCTTTAACCATCAGCTGCTGCCCTTGAAGACTGCCTCACACTTCTGCAGCAACAGATCTGTTTTGCCAATCCACCTTTATGTGCTCTGTGCACTTATATGTACCATGTATTCTGCTGGACTGCAAGTGTTCTGAGGGGAGCAGCCCTTCTCTGTTTGGTTTTGCAACCCTGTGACTGTGTACTCAACTGTTCTCGGTTATCTATACAGGGAACACTCAATTGCAAATCACTGATTCAGTCAGAAGCAGGCCTCTGAGCTTCCTCTCTCTAAGAGGAGCATCTTTCTAATATAGTACTATATATAAGCCCACAAGCTTCAGAGCTCAGACACTCAATGGACCTCAACAGCCTAGTCAGCATTGGTCAGAAGGACCCCCCAAAAATTCCAAATATTGAACAGCAATAAAGCCAGTCTGCACAGGTGCCTTTAATTGCTTTTTGATTCCCACCAAACCCATGAGCCTGGCATAACCTTTGACTGGCCATCCTTCCCTTCATAGAGGTTCTTCACATCCAAGAAGGCTTCTCAGCAGCATTAGAAAGTCAGCAAGAATAACTAGATTTGACTCAACAGTTCTGCTTATCTCAAATCTGCCCAAATAACTTCCTTCCAGCCTTTCTGTGGATTGAAAGCAAGAAGGCTTTTGCCTTAGTTAGCTCTCTGGACCATTTAGCACATTTTTTTATTGTCAATAAATATACTTTAATGCTACTCATCTAATGGTGTTAATGTATGAACACAACTGCCCTGAGGATCTGGGGGTTAGCTAAGAACTGATTGGGATTCACAGTAATATCTCATGCTTACTTTGAGTGATATCATACAAGCAACAATAAGAACCAATCAAAACCATTTAGTGTTTAGTCTGTGAAACACCATGCTAAGTAGTTCATATGCATCATCTCATATACACATGAGGAAAAAGGGATGCTGAGAAATCCAGCAAAACTCATGTGATTAGTCACTACACCATACAGCACGCACTTTGGAGTTCCACAGATAGGATTCAAATTCAAGGGCCCAGCTACCTGCGTGTGACAGTGGGTGTAGTACATAACTTTTCCAGCCTGAGTTTTCTCCTTTATATTGGGACTAACAATAGATAAAGCCCCTGGCACTGTCATCTTTTCCACCTTCATGAATCATGGAACTCCTCTTTGAATAGCCTCTCTACCTCAGTAACCCAAAGATTCAGAATGGTCTAGAATTTCATATACTGAGTTGGGCAACCGGAATTCCTATCCAGAAAATATCTAATCTTGGGCAGCAAGTCATTCAATCTTTCAGTTTGATCATTTGTCAAATAAAAATGACAACACTGGCCCAATCTATTTTAACAGGTAATGTTGAAAATAAGATCAAAGGAAAGATGTGAATGTCCCCTGAAAAGTCTCAGGTACTTCTCAAATTTAAGACACTATGATACTAATGGATTCAGTTAGAGAAATTGATGCACAGAATAACTACCTTTGTCCAAAATCTTAAAATGAATAGGGAAACTGAGTCCAAGATACAAACTGACTCCAGGTTATTTCTGTTCTTGTGTAGGTAGAGATTTGGACCAGCCCAGCCATTGCTTTGGGTAAATCACTGTGCCTCACTATAAAATAAGGGTATGACACCTGCCTTCCCCTAAGTCCTATGGGTAGGGTATGGGCAGAATACAAAAACACTCAGAAAGCTTAAGACATGTCAATTATATGCAATTTTTTTTGAGTTGGAGTCCCACTCTGTCACCCAGACTGGAGTGCAGTGGCACACTCCTGGCCACCTCACCTTCGACCTGCTGGGCTCCGGCGATTCTTCCACCTCAACCTTCCAAGTAGCTGAAACTACAGGCGTGCACTCCCACGACCAGCTAATTTTTGATTTATTGTAGAGATGAGGTCTCGCCAAGTTGCCCAGGAGGTCTTGAACCCACGGGTTCAGGCAATCCACTCATCTCAGCCTCCCAAAGTGCTGTGACTACAGGCTGAGCCACAGAGTCCGGCAATGTATGCATTTTTTAAAATGTGATGTCAGACTTTTTTTCTACTACTTATTTTCCCTTGTTCCAATCTAAATTTTATCCAGATGTGAACATAAAGAGGCCCGTCTTTGTTCATTCTCTGCTCCTTTGCATACCCTTTGGCTTTCCTTTGTGCTTCGAAAGGTTTCAGTCTTATTCTTCAAGACAGAAGTAATGAAGGGAGAAGAGAATTGGGGGAAGGGGAAGAGTGCAGTAATAAGAATGGAGAGTTCAAGGAAAGAGTTACAGAATGCTCCAGAGTGTGCACCTCCTCTCCATCAATGCAGAACTAAGGTGATGAAAAGGTCCCTGACTCCAGGCTTGCAAAGCCTTCTAAGAGGCAGCGTCCCAGAGCCCAGACTGCAAGTGACGCTCGCACACACTCACACACACTTCCATGGAGAACTGTGCTCTCCCAGCCCAGCAAGGATTTGTTGTTTCAATTAAGCCCCTCAAGATCTGTGCCACATGTTAGGGAGGAAAGAAGGAAAAAAAAGAGAGAGAGAGACTGAATTACTTTGGCTATCTCCTTAGAGGTTGATCTATATCAAATAAACCACCATCTACACATGGGGAAAGCTTTCCCTTATGAAAAACGGAGGCAGGTGCAGAAGAGCCGCATTTGGTACTAAATCAAAGCCCTAGAAGCAGAAGGAAGTGGATTTAGACGCATCCACTTAGCTCCTCCTGATCTCTAACTCACAGGGTGGGGAACAGATCACAGCCCTGGCTGGGTCTGGCCTCTGCTTCCTGGTCTCCCCTGAGGTCCCGTCCCACTTGCTCACTACTTCAGCTGCCCGGTAAGAACAGATGGACAGAAGTTAAAAGAGCAAGGTCAGCTCATCGGCTAAGTCGCATTTTATACCCTGCCCCACCTCTATCATCCTTTTCTGGGACATAAAGATAGAAAAAGCAGGGCAGGGGTGCTGCCGCATTTGATTTTGGTTGAAACTATGGTAGTTTCATTTACATCCCTTGAATAGCTGGCCAGTCTGATTTACACATTGATAATATGTGATGCTTTGTATTCCAGCAAATATTTAATCCCTGACCGATCAATAAACCTCGCCTGGCTGTTCTTTTTTGAAAGGAAATAAATCCCCTTTTACTCTTAAAATTCTTGAATAAAATTAAACTGCTTTCACCTAGGATGCACTGTTTCTACATGAAACCATGTGGTTTCATAACCTCAGTGCTCAGATGTTTTTAAAGGGGCCGCCTTTACTAACTTGATTTTTCTGACATCCTAACACCTCTCTAATGAGTTTTATGTGTTATAGCTGATATTATAAAACAGCGCTTTAAGGTATGATCGACTTTATTTTTAATTGAAAAGTAAAATTATTAATTTAAACTAAATCAGTGAATATCTAGAATGCAGTTAATTTTTTTTTTTTTTTTGCATTCTTTTTCTTATATTCACCAGGAAGGTCTTGATTTACATTCTTTATTACAAACCTTCTTTCTGCCTTTCTATATAATGTTTCCCTGCAAAACTACATTTTAAAGAAAACTTTATTCTCACACTGATTCTTAAAAAGCTATATCCTAGTCTTAGAGTTAGAGTTGAATATTTTTTTAAATGCACATTAAACATGAAAAGATATGTCTCTCCTCTCTTTAAGGGGTGCACAATACAGCCTCAAAGCTCACCAAAAGTTCCAAAACAACCGCCACGGCAAAACAAACTCTCTTTCATCTTGGCAGTTACAAAAGCAATAACTTTCACCAAACCAGCCCAAGCCAAGAATTAATATAACACAGAACACATCCACATTCAGACCATTACGGCTACATCAGCTCACCACAATATTTGTTTGAAAAACACATAATTTGTGGTAGAGAGAGAGAACCTCTCATACAAAAAGAGGTTCTTTCAAATGCAAATTAACCAAAAGACATATTTTCCCTGTGTTTGGGAAATCACTCCAACATATGAAAATCATAGTTTTGTGGAAAAAAAAAAACTGATGTGCACCCACCAGTTGAAAAGGCAATTAAATTTGCTGTAGATTACCTTAACAGTTAAGAAAAGTAAGTATTTTATAGGTTCCGTAAGTCCTTAAAGACTTTATTAGCATTTACTGACCTAAGTAGTCTTCAGTTCCCAGGTAGCAAAGTTTCTTTTCTTCTCCACTGAAATGCTCATATGGACACTGAAGGACATTGTATTACTGAACTGATCGGAAAAGAATATTGTTTCCATTCTTCTGACAAAAAGAATACAGAAAGAGAAAGAAAGAAAAAGAAAGAAAGGAAGGAAGGAAGGAAGGAAGGAAGGAAGGAAGGAAGGAAGGAAGGAAGGAAGAAAAAGAAAGAAAGAAAGAAAGAAAGAAAGAAAGAAAGAAAGAAAGAAAGAAAGAAAGAAAGAAAGAAAGAAAAAGAAAGGAAGGAAGGAAGGAAGGAAGGGAGAAAGAGAAAAGAAAAGCAAGGCAAAAGGCAGTCTAATCGAGTATTCTTCCTGGTGGGAAAAAAAAAAGTAAATCCAGTATTCTGGAACGAGTTCAAACATAGCTTGACAGGCTCCAGGAGAATTTACACTGAGCATGCTTAGTCCCGCACTGCTTGCATGAGACACTCTTAATGAATATTACTTCCTTCCCACTGGCTATTCCTGCTGGAAGTCCACACCCACCCCTCTTTCAGAAGTCAGGAATTTAGCTTCAGCCAAAGTCCAGAAAACATGCTTATGCGGAGACAAGGCCTCCCCGATCCATAAACTTTCAGGTTGTGACCTGCAGGTCAGTTTGACAAATAGAACATAGGGGTGAATTTTTCTGCCCTTGGTTATGTCCCCACCCTCGTGTCTGTCCTAAACTGCAGTTTCCCCGAAGAAAAGAAAAATAGACAGTTTTCTTTCTAAAGAACATGATGTCCTAAACACCAGTGTACAGGCCTTTCCAATCAAGCTTCCAAACCCAAAATCAGAATGAGGATTATCTACATAAGAAAACACAACATATGATGATTTTTAGCTTCTGGATAAAATAAAATAAGAGTCCTATCCAACATATATCCTTTTTGATAACTTATATAACATATCTCTCAAAAATGTTACACGCCAATGCACACTTTAAAAATATGTTCAAAATCCAGCATTAACCTGCATGCTGTCTAAATATTGGACTAGTAAATGTTTAGGTCACACTTAAAAATGATTTTCTTTTTCAGACAATGTTTTCTCTTTCCCTAAATCTCTCTGTCATGTTTAATGACAGGAGACCAGAAATTCTGGAAATGTAAAAATAGATTACTTTTCTGACAGTCTGGGAAGGCAAAATTCTTGCTCTACCAAAAAAAGGTGGGGGTGGTGGGGGAAGGAAAGCAGGTGAGGGCCTAATATAGGCAGCATAGTAATGGAAGGGCATTTTATACTTAAAAGATTAATAACAAAAAAATATATTTTGTTGTTTATCTGCTACTTCTAGAATGCCATTTATATGTATCAAACTACAAATTATAAATATTATTAAATGCTCATTTGAAGTGTTTATTTACCTAGACAACACAAACACACATGTACACACACACACACATACACACATACACACACCAATTTGTATTTGAAAAGAAAAGATGTCACATCATCAAAAGGCAATACAAATTCTCTAAGTGTTCAAGAAATATGGTGTGCCCAGCCTCTAATACAAAGCCTGCCTAGCTAGCATTGATTCCTTGGGTTTTAATAAAGGGTGTTTCTATGAACCTGATAAGTAAATCCATTACCCTCCATTCCTGTAACACTTTATGCAGGCACTGCTGAGCTGCTATGATATGTTCCTCTTATCGGAGATTCTTGTAGCATAAAATATTTCCTTGCCTGCTATTGAATAAATAAAATCCCCTCAGACATATTTTCCTTCCTGTGATTACAAGTTTTTGGACAGTTTAAGCATGGGGTTGTTTTGTTTGTTTTTATGCTTTGCCTAAGGAAAAAATAAAACTTAGCCCCCTGCTCCAAGTGAGTTTATTTATAATATTACAAGAGCAAACCAAGTTTTCAGCAGTTAGAGGAAATCCAGGAGAAATCAAGTTTTGAAAGGCTAAGTAGTCTTTATGGCCCCGTATAAGGTAAGTGTAAAATAAGAAAGATATTTATTCATTTACCCAAGGAGATTGCCTAGAGATCAGGAAGGACCCGCAGCATACAGGGCAGGGACCCTTACTTGTAGACATACTTACCTTCTTGCCATCAGGATGTGTTTCTTTTGTATTTTTCCATGAGGGTACCACTCCCCTAGATCTAAGGGTACTGTGTATGAAAATGGAGGAAAATGGAGTCAAGTCATGCTTTTTCTACCTTGAATTTCAAAACCACCCTATGTAAAGTGAGGTAGTCCTTACAGTGCCATCAGACTCATTCATCTCAGCGAATATTTACTGAGCCCCAAGCTGACACTCATTTGGGTACAGGAAATGGGGTAGTGACTAAGACTGGCAAAGTTTCTGCCCTCAAGGAGCTTACATTCTTGTGAAAACATTAAAAAATAATAAAAAGGCAAAAATAAGTAAATAATGAATACTTTTACAAACTCTGTTAAGTGCCAATAAAGAAATAAAAGGGAAACTATGAAAAAAAAAAAGTCATGTAAAACAGACCACGTGTGTTGGGGGCTGATAGTCACAGAATCAGGAACATGGGAGACATATTTGGGAAAATAATTAGTAACTAATCCAATACGAATTAAAGAGATACATACATGGTATGACTGGGTTAAAGCCTTGAATACCAGATTAAGGCATTTGGATTTCATATGAGAAGTTATTGAGGGCTTTTGAGAAGAATTAATATGACCAGAACTATTCACTTAAAAGATTGAAATGTTAGCAGAATGTAGCAGTTTGTAGGATAGATTGGGAATGAGCATGAAAAGGTCAAAGCTTTCTTAATAGCTGAGACGTGGAGGGAGGCATTTAAGGGGAACTCCAAGATTTTGGGCCTCAGTAGCTCTGGAGATTAATGGCATCTTGAACAGAAATAGGGAAAGCCAAGGAAAGAAAATTGTGTCTGGCACATGGTAAGCTCAAATATTCACTAGATGTATGGTATATTAAGTCTGAGGGTTAGGCAAATATCCAGCCTACACTGTTATTTTAGTCAGGAATTTTATTTAGCTGTTAAGAGGGACCTGATAATAGCCAAACACCTAAGGGTTTATGTTTCTCTCATTTAAAAACAATTCAGAGGTTGAGATTTCAAAACATGACAACCAGGGACCCAAATTTTTCTGTCTTTTTGGTTTGTCATTATTTATTTTTATTTTTATTTTTAATTTATTTATTTATTGAGTTGGAGTCTCACGCTGTCTGGAGTGCAATGGCATGCTCACAGTCACCACAGCCTCGACCTGCTGGGCTCAGGCGATCCTCCTGCCTCAGCCTTCCAAGTAGCCAGAACTAGAGGCGTGCACTACCGCAACCGGCTAAATTTTGATTTATCATAGAGATAAGGTCTCACCAAGTTGCCCAGGCTGATCTCAAACCCCTAGGCTCAAGCAATCCTCTTGCCTCAACCTCCCAAAGTGCTGGGATTACAGGCTTGAGCCATTGTGCCTGGCCAATATTATTTGTTTTTTAACTTTTTTTTTTTTTTTGAGTTGTAGAGTAACTCTGTCACCCAGGCTGGAGTGCAGTGGCACACTTACAGCCAACCCAGGGTTGACCTGCTGGGCTCAGGCAATTCTTCCACCTCAGCTTTCCAAATAGCTGGAACTACATGCATACACTACCACGCCCGGTTAATTTTTGATTTATCGTAGAGACGAGGTCTCACCAAGTTGCGCCGGCTGGTCTTGAACCCGCGGACTCGGGCAATCCACTCGCCTCAGCCTCCCAAAGTGCTGAGATCATAGGCGTGAGACACCACACCCGGCTGGTTTGTCCTTCTTAACACATAGTGTTCATCTCCAATTTTGCCTTATAGTCCATTAGGAACTATGTTTACTTTTGAGTAAATAGACACACGCAGCAGTCTAAGCTTGAGAATGGCTTGATAGACAGGGAACCAGAGGCTATTCTCATGTGTGAGAATCTGGGTCACACCACCTGGTGAGTCACTTAGACAAGCAGAGATGCTAGGCAAGAAAGAAGAGAATGGATTAGTAGAATAGAGAAATAAATGATGAGTAGCCGCTAGATTAGGCACAGAGGTAAAATTAGTGCCACTAACTTTCCTCATATAAGACTGTCTAGGAAGAAAAAAACCGATCAGAATCCTGGAGGAAGTCTTCTTAGAAGTGGTAAACTTAGTATAATCAGAATATTCACTCTGATTCTGTCAGGTAGGCAGGTGGCAGTGCAAATGGTGAACTGTAGTGAAGTCTGGGGTGTGCTATCTATTACTTCTCCTTCAATTCTGGGCACTCATTATCTCATCCACTAGGAGTACTCATTGCCATCATCCCACCGCTAAGTCCCTCTGGAGGAATTCCTCTTACTACAAGGAAGCCTCCTTGTCCAAGGTTATACTTCATCCCCAGGGAAGTTCTAAATGCCTATAAAGGGGCACAGATGCCTCCCAGCTCCACAGCTCCCTGTAGGATTGTCTGAAATTCTGCTACAAAGTCTAGCCCTTCCTCTGCCTATTTCTCCTTCTTACCCTCCCTTCCAGATACTGGTTTTGAGAACACGCCTCAATAAATTCCTACACACAAATCTCCATCTCAGAATCTGTGTTCTGGGAACTCAATCTAATCTAGCAAAATAAAACCCTAGCTAAATCTAGATTTTTCACTTCCATGCTTGAACCTCTGCAGCTGAAGATAGCTGAAGAAAAATGTCCATTGGTCTCAGATTTCTCACACTCACTTAGACCTCACGTGCGTTCTCAACACAACCCAAGAATCATTATTTCCTTCCCTCATCCATTCTTATTTCACTCTTCAGGACAAGTATTTCAGATTTTCTCTTTCCAACATTCCGTCCTCACTCTCACTCTCAGCTAGTCAACCTACTCTCTGCTATAATGAGAAAAATGAAGCAATTAGAAAATCATTTTCGAGAGCCCCAATCCCATGTCTACCCACCTGCCAGAATCAGAGCAAATATAATCTACCTTCTCTTTTATTACTGCAGATGAACTGTCCATCCTCCTAGCAGGGCAAATTCCTTCACCTATGCACTAAATCTCCATTCTCTCTTGCCTACCTAAAAACATTGCTCTACAAAGTCTACTCTCGTATCATCGAACTCGCCCTTTGCATTTGATCAGCTGCAGCATCGTAAAACATGCTGGTACCTCTGTCATCAAAAAAAAAAAAATCCTTCTTTTAAAAAAAATTTAATTATTATTTTTATTTTAAAGATGTGAGATACAATTCAGGAACTCAAATGTGCCAAAAGGGAAAAAAAACAAAACCCTATTTAAAACTCATTCTTTAATCTAGCTTTTTGTATCCCTCTCTCATATTACTCTTTTTTTAAGAGTTGTCTGCAAGATCTTTCTAATATCTGTCTTCCCATTCTTACTTCTTAAAAAAGATCTTCATTGAGATATAATTTACATTCCATAAAATTGTATACAATTCAAGGTTTTAGTATTCACAGAGT